ACTACTTCCTTATTTACTATGGTTTACTTTTGTCTACACGCGGTCTTTAAATCTATGAAATTCCCAAAAGGTAAATCGGAATAACTTTAACCCTTCCTTCTTCCACGGCGGGCCTCGCGAGACTGGTGACATCAGGTGCCACCGGGGCGGGTGGCACCAGGGCGGGTGGCACCGGGGCGGGTGGCACCAGGGCGGGTGGCACACAAGGGGGATTACTGTGGCTGTAGTTAGCGTGTGCATAATCCCGCCCAACACGTCCAACAACACTTCAATATTTCAGTTTTGAATGTTTCGTCTCCATTTCCTGCCTCCCGATCTTTGACCCCCTACCTCACAGCACCCCCCCCTCCCTCTCTACCTGTATCACCTCTCCTAAATACCCTGTTCCCCCCTGCCCCTGCCCCCCCTGACTCTAAGCACCTCGGCCCAGCAGTCCCAGCAGCACCTGCAGGCAGTAAAGGGAGGGAGTGCGTGGTTGGCAACATTGTGAGAAGCGATAACCCAGCTCGTCGCCGCACTCAGACATTCCGCTAAGCCAGCCGCTAATGAAGCCAGGAATGCTAGTATAGAGGGAGGGAGAGAGGGAGGCAAGTTCATAATGTCTCACCTCTCCCTTTTAGACTTCCCCCCTTACCCCCCCCTCCCTCTCCCTATTTACGTCCGCTGTCGCAACCTCTGTCGCACGGGAGACATCTCCCGTCACGCAGGGTGCAGTCGCACCTCCACAGATCTCCAGTATCTATTGATACTGGTAATGGCTCAAAAGGGCCACCACTTACGGGCTATTCATGCCCGTGCCACCTCTTGGGTGGCTTAATTTTCATCAATCAATCGCCTCGGTCAGCCTTCGACTTGATGGCCTGAGTTTGCTATGTATGCATGCACAGTGAGTGCATGCAGGTGCGCGCGAGTGCATGCAGGTGTCTATACACGTGTGCTCGAGGACCTTGTGGTAACAGCAGAACTAAATCAAGGCAGAAAACTACGCTAAATACCTGGCAGTGAAACCTTGCAACAATGCCCAGAGATGCACTTCAGCCTATCCACTAATATGATGCATGTATTTTGACGTATCAATTCCCCAACGTCAAAATATGATGGTTCTATCCATCAAAGCGGCTAGCAAAAATTGGCGTGATGTTCCGTTTTATATTTGTGGATCGTCGGTTAGGTTTGGTTGAGGCAATTTAGCCCATCTTTTCTTTCGCTGTTGTGGACACACTAAGAGGCCGCGACCACGTGTCAGGCCAGCGACCACGTGTCAAGCCAGCGACCACGTGTCAGGCCAGCGACCACGTGTCAGGCCAGCGACCACGTGTCAGGCCAGCGACCACGTGTCAGGCCAGCGACCACGTGTCAAGCCAGCGACCACGTGTCAGGCCAGCGACCACGTGTCAGGCCAGCGACCACGTGTCAGGCCAGCGACCACGTGTCAGGCCAGCGACCACGTGTCAGGCCAGCGACCACGTGTCAGGCCAGCGACCACGTGCCAGCGAGTGTCCACGAACCAAAGGGACGTAACACGAACACGTCCAGCTAACATACTCCTCATCCAGCGACAGGAACAGTACAACAATGTACTCTCCGGGTGTACGATGTACACAACACACCCTAAACCACAGAAAATACGTGATGACCAAAGAGCTTGTGACCAAACACGCAGTTTAACAATCCACTCGGTATTTACAGTACAAATTAAACTACGACGCACCTTCAGTGACTGACCTCCCTTCCGGGGGACGCTGATCAAGTGCATAACACGTCAAACAACATCAACATATAATTGACTTACTTGGGAGAGAGACCCCGCTTCCAGGTCAACCAATCAGGGGTGTCCGTGCCCACGGCCTGCCGCCGCCCTCCGAGGTCAGGTCGAGACTGACTGACACTACACCTTCGCTATGACTGTGTCGTCGTCCGGGGCAGCTACGAGAGCGCCCACCGGGAAGGTCGTTACCGCTAACGACCGCTTCCCAAACTGCTCAGAGCCTAGCATTTACATTGCTTGTTTAACAATTACAGCAAAGAGAGTCAATCATATCATAGGAAATCAAATATTATTTGGTTATAGTGATATATAGGATATAGAACTGTATGTGTCCCCCCTGTCTCCCTCCCCTAGTATGTGTCCCCCCTGTCTCCCTCCCCCACTATGTGTCCCCTGCCTCCCTCCCCCACTATGTGTCCCCTGCCTCCCGCCCCTTGTATGTGTCCCCTGCCTCCCTCCTCCACTATGTGTCCCCCTGCCTCCCTCCCTCCACTATGTGTCCCCCTACTCTATGTGTTCCCAGCATGGTGACGCGGGTCCTGAGGGACGCCTTGTAGTAATGATGTTCCGCCAACTTTATGACGCCAGCTTCCATAAATCTGTAATGACACGTTTATGAATTCTTAATTTCTATTTATGAAAATTAAGTCAGCTGCTCTGTGCTGACGAGGCCCCCCTGCTGACGTCGGAGGACACCGCTGACGGCCACACGGTCGCACCCCTCGGCGCTCACGCCGCCTCCGTCAGCACCTCTACGTCACGGCTACCCAAGAGCGGGAATGCAGTGCGTGAGGGCGTGCGTGCGTTGCGTGCGTGTGGCGGGGAGGCGGCGGCGTCGTGTTTGTCATAGTTGGGGCGGGCGGTACATGGGGGCGCTGCCGGCCGCGCATGCGCAATGAGACACCGAAAAGGTTTCCAAGCGCATTCCGCTCTTTTGTTTATATCGGCGCAGAGAGGCGGTGATCTTCCCCGTGAAGCACAGTTCTTCAGTGTCCTGTACACTTAATGTAGTGGAAGTATCCCCTACACTTGATGCCTTGGTAGTATACTGTACACTTATGCAGTGGAAGTATACTGAACACTTAACGTGGAAGAGGGCCAAGTAGGGCTCCATAAACAATGCTTAATGCGCCAGCCCTCCAGGGCTGGCGCGTTAATTCAACACCATTGAATTAACGTAAAATCGTTGATTTTTTGTTATACATCAACGTCTTCTGCTCAACTTTCACGACCAAATATCACATTCACTCCAATAAATCTACCACTTACGGGCTATTCATGCCCGTGCCACCTCTTGGGTGGCTTAATCTTCATCAATCAATCAACTTTACTCAGTGTGGAGGGCAAGATTCCTACCCCTCCCCTTCCCAGCATCTCCACCTCCCCTCCACTCACGGGTAATTATGGGGAAATGACGTTGATGTGATCATGAGTCTACGTCGATATGACGCAGAGTTGAACATCCGCAGGGCAGGCAAAATAGTATTGAAGTAACGCAGTTTGATCGACGTTATTAACGTACGTTTAGCCTCATTGGTCTGCTGATGGCGTCTCGTGGAATACTTTCAATGTAACCATTGAAATTTCTTCTTGCCTCTCCCACAAAGTGGATGGGATGGGGATAGAGGGGGGTGGGGGATGGAAGGGGAAAGGGTGGGTGGGGGCGAGGGGGGTGTTGGTCCCCATCTCGCATTCCTTGATAGCTGAAATGCGTACCTAGTGTCTGGGTGTGAGAGGGAGGCATTACTGGGATGCCTCGCCTTGCTCCCTTCCCCACCTCTCACACTGCACAAATTTCTCTCCAGTTCTGCCCTTACTCAGTCCCGTTGCTGGAGGACCCTCAAGTTACAACCCCGCTCCTGTGCCAGGTAAGTCCACTATACTATGGTTAAGTCTACTATGGGCTCACCATAGCCTGTGCTACTTCTAACGTTTTGTTTAGAGTAGCTGAATCTTAAACAACAACATGAAAGACCCATGAACTGTGACTGCCGGCAGTGGCTCTCTACATTCTGTGCCTTACATTGAGGATTTTCCATGCAACCATCCTTGTGTGTTGGGGGATTTTTTTTAGCATCACGTAGCCTGTCTTTGCCACACTCTGTACTCCCCTTTCCTATATAGTCTATGGCAGCTGCACAGATGCAGACGTACCTAAATGTGTCAATAAAGAAAATAATAATATGTCCCTGTACGACTGGCTGTGTGTTAGCTATGTAACTCTTCACATATAGTCCAGGGCAGCTGTATAAATGTGGTGAATATACCTATGTTAACACAAAAGTTAACATAGGTCAGCAGCGGGAGTCGAATGAGCGCATCATTGTTAGTATTCTCAATTTTTTTCAATTATATCAGTGTTTAAATAGACAAAAAAATTAGGTGAACAAATAAGTGTTGAATAAAATGAAAAGTAATACAGTTACTTGCGCTTTGTGAGTGTCTGTGACTGTCTCCAGCACGTTCTACCAATCACGATCTTGACTGGTCGATAGAGGGACGACTTTGATTCTTGCGGGGTCGGCGTTCGATCCACCAATGCTCCAAGTGGTTAGGCACCGCTCCTTCACCCCCGTCAATATATCCCAAAATATCCTGCAGGTTCTCCTAATCTGCCACAACGTATGAAATACAAGGTGCTAACCTAACCAGAAAGACATGAACGCGAGCCACTGACCTAATCAAGCCTACCGTATAGTCAAGCCTACTGTATAGTCAAGCCTACTGTATAGTCAAGCCTACCGTATAGTCAAGCCTACTGTATAGTCAAGCCTACTGTATAGTCAAGCCTACCGTATAGTCAAGCCTACTGTATAGTCAAGCCTACCGTATAGTCAAGCCAACTGTATAGTCAAGCCTACCGTATAGTCAAGCCAACTGTATAGTCAAGCCTACCGTATAGTCAAGCCTACCGTATAGTCAAGCCTACTGTATAGTCAAGCCTACCGTATAGTCAAGCCTACCGTATAGTCAAGCCTACCGTATAGTCAAGCCTACCGTATAGTCAAGCCTACCGTATAGTCAAGCCTACTGTATAGTCAAGCCTACCGTATAGTCAAGCCTACTTTATAGTCAAGCCTACTGTATAGTCAGTATAGTTGTATAGTCAACGTTATCGAGGGGTAATACTCGAAAATCCTGTTCTAACAGTACGGACTATCAAACCCACACGCCATACTCCACAGGGGTCCCTAGGATTCGAAGTAGGAGCTAATCCTTCTTCAAGGACGACATGGGGTTCAATCTCAACCACCGTATGACACTCCCCCATACAACCACATATCACCCTGCATAGTTTGGTGAGGCTAGCCCCTAGCCTCTGGCCTCCCAACCTTTAATAAGTATACATTTTCGCTTAATGATGTAGTTTATGGATAGAATGCCAAGGTAGGAAGGCCAAGGGCTCGGGGCTCGCCTCACCTATCTTTGCAAGATGATACATGGGTGGGAGCGGGGTTTGGGAGTGTCATAGACCAGTCGGGTGGGTACCAGTGCCACTCTATGAGAAATATCGCATCTATAGCGAACCCCCCGAGATCAGACTTTGAGAGAGAGAGAGAGAGAGAGAGAGAGAGAGAGAGAGAGAGAGAGAGAGATTTTGTTAATTTAAGCAAAACTAACATAAAAATGTGATCAAACCTAACCTAACCTAACATCACTAAGTCAACAATTCATATTCTTAACATAATATAATAATATTAATTGCAACAAAACAATTTAGAAAGAAATATTTGTAAATAACGAAAAATCACTTTGTTAGGCAAATCGGGTCTTGCATACTAAGCCAAGTAGAAGGATTCTGGCTATTAGGTACGACAGACATAACATTGTCGACTATATAACATTCCTAGAACTCCCACAGTCAAGAGGTGCCCAGGATTATGAGCTCTCATACTAAGCAAACACTTGACTGTAATGATAATACTGACAGATAATCTCAGCCTTAATAATGATTACAACTAGTAATAAGATAATAATGTGAAGACAATTAATAGCAACAAAATGTAATGTAATTATTTTTGTGGTGGTGGTCGAGCGCGTACGAGAGGGAGCGTGAGCACCTCTACCATCTTGAGCACCTCTACCATCTTGAGCACCTCTACCATCTTGAGCACCTCTACCATCTTGAGCACCTCTACCATCTTGAGCACCTCTACCATCTTGAGCACCACCACCACCACCACCACCACCACCAGTTCCTCAGTCATCCACACCCAATACTGACGGCTAGCCACAACAACCTTCTCCCCCACTACTCCCCCCTCAAGCAGCGTCTTGGCTACCTACACCAACCACCACCACCATCCCCCCCTCAATCACCACCCCTGCCACTACACCACCATCAAATACTCCAACCAGCACCATCTCAACATTGTACCTCACCACTTAAGAAGTTAACGTACCTACACTATCCACCCGCCCCAACATCACCCCCCTCCCCCTCACTTTCCCCCCACCCCAACACCACCCCCTCCCTCACACCTCCCCCACCCCACAACCACCCCTCCCAGCACCTTCCCTCCCATAAAAATGATAAAGATGCAGTAAATGTGTGGGAGAACTGGGTGAGCTGGACCTCTGACCTGTGTTGACCAGCACCAGCTCCACACACCACTACCTGCTCCACCTACCACTCTTCCCTCCACCTACCACTGTTCCCTCCACCTACCACTCTTCCCTCCACCTACCACTGTTCCCTCCACCTACCACTGTTCCCTCCATGCCACTACTCCCACCTACCCACTCACACATCAGATAAATCTCAGTGGATTTAGATAAATTTATCTAAAATCTTTAGATAAGTCTAAATCTCAGATAATCCAACTTGAATTTTTGTTGAGTGTTCTATTTTGGGTTAAATATTTGTGTCGCCTTATCTGTGTCCCTCATTGGTAAACACTTTCACCAGTTTGTGCTCTGGTGCTAGGCCTGCTGGTGCTAGGGCTGCTGGTGCTAGGCCTGCTGGTGCTAGGCCTGCTGGTGCTAGGCCTGCTGGTGCTAGGCCTGCTGGTGCTAGGCCTGCTGGCCCTAGGCCTGCTGGTGCTAGGCCTGCTGGTGCTAGGCCTGCTGGTGCTAGGCCTGCTGGTGCTAGGCCTGCTGGTGCTAGGTCTGCTGGTGCTAGGCCTGCTGGTGCTAGGCCTGCTGGTGCTAGGCCTGCTGGTGCTTGGCCTGCTGGTGCTAGGCCTGCTGGTGCTAGGCCTGCTGGTGCTAGGTCTGCTGGTGCTAGGCCTGCTGGTGCTAGGCCTGCTGGTGCTAGGTCTGCTGGTGCTAGGCCTGCTGGTGCTAGGCCTGCTGGTGCTAGGCCTGCTGGTGCTAGGGCTGCTGGTGCTAGGCCTGCTGGTGCTAGGCCTGCTGGTGCTAGGCCTGCTGGTGCTAGGGCTGCTGGTGCTAGGCCTGCTGGTGCTAGGCCTGCTGGTGCTAGGCCTGCTGGTGCTAGGCCTGCTGGCCCTAGGGCTGCTGGTGCTAGGCCTGCTGGTGCTAGGCCTGCTGGTGCTAGGCCTACTGGCCCTAGGGCTGCTGGTGCTAGGCCTGCTGGTGCTAGGCTTGCTGGCCCTAGGGCTGCTGGTGCTAGGCCTGCTGGTGCTAGGCCTGCTGGTGCTAGGCCTGCTGGCCCTAGGCCTGCTGGTGCTAGGCCTGCTGGTGCTAGGCCTGCTGGTGCTAGGCCTGCTGGCCCTAGGGCTGCTGGTGCTAGGCCTGCTGGTGCTAGGCCTGCTGGTGCTAGGCCTGCTGGCCCTAGGCCTGCTGGTGCTAGGCCTGCTGGTGCTAGGCCTGCTGGTGCTAGGCCTGCTGGCCCTAGGCCTGCTGGTGCTAGGCCTGCTGGTGCTAGGCCTGCTGGTGCTAGGCCTGCTGGCCCTAGGGCTGCTGGTGCTAGGCCTGCTGGTGCTAGGCTTGCTGGCCCTAGGGCTGCTCAGGGGAGGGTAGGCCTGGTCAGTCTTCTCGACAGCCTTTACAGAGTGTCCGTACTCTTGGCCAAGTCCGGACACTCCAAGTCCGCCCTGAGCTGCGCTGCTTGTTCCAAATAAGTTTGAATGATAAAATTAAGCTTTATTTTGGGATCAAAACTCCACACTTATGTATTTGTGGAATGAATGTCAAGAATTACAGCAAGAGTTTCGGGCGTGAGGAGTACTGACCTTGGCGGGGAGGAGAGGGAGTTGTTATTGTGTGAAGGTCACACCTCTCTACCCCTGGGGACCTGTGTGCCCTGGGGACCAGTGTGCCCTGGGGACCAATGTGCCCTGGGGACCTGTGTGCCCTGGGGACCAGTGTGTCCTGGGGGCCTGTGTGCCATGGGGATCAGTGTGCCCTGGGGACCAGTGTGCCCTGGGGGACCAGTGTGCCCTGGGGACCTGTGTGCCCTGGGGGACCAGTGTGTCCTGGGGGACCAGTGTGCCCTGGGGGACCTGTGTGCCCTGGGGACCAGTGTGTCCTGGGGGACCAGTGTGTCCTGGGGGACCTGTGTGCCCTGGGGACCTGTGTGCCCTGGGGACCAGTGTGTCCTGGGGGACCTGTGTGCCCTGGGGACCTGTGTGCCCTGGGGACCTGTGTGTCCTGGGGACCTGTGTGTCCTGGGGACCAGTGTGCCCTGGGAACCAGTGTGCCCTGGGGACCAGTGTGCCCTGGGGACCAGTGTGCCCTGGGGACCAGTGTGCCCTGGGAACCAGTGTGCCCTGGGGACCTGTGTGCCCTGGGCATCTGTGTGCCCTGGGGACCAGTGTGTCCTGGGGGACCAGTGTGTCCTGGGGGACCTGTGTGCCCTGGGGACCTGTGTGTCCTGGGGACCTGTGTGCCCTGGGACCAGTACTCAGGGTATCCGTGCATATTCTCAGGCTGAATCTTCTGCTGTGAATTTTTTTCCCTTGGATAATTGGCTGTAAACCGTCTGGGAGATAGTGAAGGGGCTTCCCTCCCCTCACCTTCCCTCCCCTCACCCCTCTCCTCACCTTCCCTCCCCTCAGCCCTCTCCTCACCTTCCCTCCCCTCACCCCCCACTACCTCTCAGCTTCCCTCCCCTCACCCCACTGCCTCACTAGCACCGTGTTTCCGTGTATCTCATGTTTTGCTGTGAGAAAAAATACAGTGAGAGGTGTGAGGGACTTGTGCTTGGAGCTCCACACTCTCACCCCCTCACTCCCCCCTTCCCACTCCCTCACCTCTCCCTCACTCCCTCCCTCAACCCCTCACGCGCCCCATTCCTCCGCAAGAGCAGCTGAATGTGATTGCTTCTCTGATTAGTCAATTACACTCATTTGATAATCAATGATAGCATACAGCAAAGCGTCCATCCCCCCAAGATCGAGGCACTTGACCAATGAGACGCCAGTGTGGCCCAGTCCAGCAGCCAATCACCGCCCTCTTTGGCTGGAAGGGGCGTGGCCTGCCCTCCTGGCCCGCCGCCGTGCCCTCTCTGTTAGTAAGGGATTTGACAGTGTGGTGGAACACTTTGTTTATACTTATTTTCCGCTCTACGGGTCTAGTCCCTCGGGCCCGGACCCAGGACGACAGGTACGCGGGTCTTGGGGGTCTTGGGGGCCATGTTGGCAGCCATGAGGGCCCCTGAGAGGACTATGTTGACAGGCGAGCTCTGAGGGGCCCCGAAGAAACGGGCGGAGAGGGTGTGTCTCTAGTGGTACAGTGTGTGTGGGTGTCAGTAGTGGTACAGTGTGTGGGTGTGTCTCTAGTGGTACAGTGTGTGGGTGTGTCTCTAGTGGTACAGTGTGTGGGGGTGTGTCTCTAGTGGTACAGTGTGTGGGGGTGTGTCTCTAGTGGTACAGTGTGTGGGGGTGTGTCTCTAGTGGTACAGTGTGTGGGTGTGTCAATAGTGGTACAGTGTGTGGGTGTGTCAATAGTGGTACAGTGTGTGGGGGTGTGTCTCTAGTGGTACAGTGTGTGGGTGTGTCAATAGTGGTACAGTGTGTGGGGGGTGTCAATAGTGGTACAGTGTGTGGGGGGTGTCAATAGTGGTACAGTGTGGGTGTGTCAATAGTGGTACAGTGTGTGGGGGGTGTCAATAGAGGTACAGTGTGTGGGGGTGTCAATAGTGGTACAGTGTGTGGGGTGTCAATAGTGGTACAGTGTGGGGGGTGTCAATAGTGGTACAGTGTGTGGGGGTGTCAATAGTGGTACAGTGTGTGGGGTGTCAATAGTGGTACAGTGTGGGGGGTGTCAATAGTGGTACAGTGTGTGGGTGTCAATAGTGGTATAGTGTGTGGGGTGTCAATAGTGGTACAGTGTGGGGGGTGTCAATAGTGGTACAGTGTGTGGGGTGTCAATAGTGGTACAGTGTGTGGGGTGTCAATAGTGGTATAGTGTGTGGGGTGTCAATAGTGGTACAGTGTGGGGGTGTCAATAGTGGTACAGTGTGGGGGGTGTCAATAGTGGTACAGTGTGTGGGGGTGTCAATAGTGGTACAGTGTGTGGGGGGTGTCAATAGTGGTACAGTGTGTGGGGTGTCAATAGTGGTACAGTGTGGGGGGTGTCAATAGTGGTACAGTGTGTGGGGTGTCAATAGTGGTACAGTGTGGGGGGGTTGTTTCTATTGGTACTGTGTATGGGGGGAGGGGGGGGGGGTAGTCGTCAGTGGCATTATCAACCTCTGGAGGGTGATTAAGGCCTATTAACCTCTGGCGGGTTGTTAAGGCCCATCAACATTTGGAGGGTTATTAAGGCCTATTAACCTCTAGAGGGTTATTAAGGCCTATCAACCTCTGGAGGGTTATTAAGGCCTATCAACCTCTGGAGGGTTATTAAGGCCTATCAACCTCTGGAGGGTTATTAAGGCCTATCAACCTCTGGAGGGTTATTAAGGCCTATTAACCTCTGGAGGGTTATTAAGGCCTATCAAGCTCTGGAGTGTTATTAAGGCCTATCAACCTCTGGAGGGTTATTAAGGCCTATCAACCTCTGGAGGGTTATTAAGGCCTATCAACCTCTGGAGGGTTATTAAGGTCACCACAATAGCCTAATGACCACCCAGCAAGTATACCTTAGTCCTCAACATTGTCCAGGACTATGTATACTCTCAGTATACATAATCCAGGACTATGTATACTCTCAGTATACACCTCGAGAAGAAGCTACACCTCTCAGTGTACGTATTCTTATCATGAAAAAGTCCTCGAAATGGTTTCCATAAATTAATTGTATATGACAAGAAATACATTAAACATATATGATATAATAAATTCATAGCAATTTATGTAAATATTTTTTCTAAGCTTATATATATATATATATATATATATATATATATATATATATATATATATATACAGCATTATATATATATATATACGTATATATATATATATATATATATATATATATATATATATATATATATATATATATATATATATATATATATATATTTCTTTAATTTCTTTCTCCATTGCAGAAAAAAACAGATAAATTCACTTTGCAAAAATCCTCCCGCTAAGAGATGACTCAACAGGGCAAACTCACTTATCCGGATATGTGGATCATATATATATATGTATATATATTTATATATTGAACTTAACCGGCCCTGAAATGTGACTAAATCTGCAATAGACAGTTTATGAAGAAAAGAAAATTACAGTAGAGGCTGGATTAGAAAGATTAGCACAAGACAATGATCTTAACAGACAGCGGACAGTCTTAACCGGAATCTAAAATGTACATTGAATTATCCGGATTCTTAACAACCGGATACGAAGCCGCCATAGTGCTCGTTTAGTGTTATAACCGAATATCAGAATTTAGTGTTTCTAGAGAAAAAGGCGATCCGGATAACAGAGAAGGTGATCCAGATAACAGAGAAGGCGGATATCAAAATAACGGATATCACAGTGAACACAACCGGCCCAATGCATAACATAATCAAGATGTGCAGGTATGTAAGTCTCTGTTTTGTATACAAATCGTTTGATTTATATAATACAAATCCTTGACTCAGAACACATTATGTGATCAATGGTGTTCTGTCTTATAACTGAATAGTTCCTGTTCCATTGTTATGAAAAGGAATGAGTACTTACCTAGTTTTTACTCACCTAGTTGTGGGTTGAGCTTTGGCTATTCCTGTTTGTCAACTGTCAGTCATGCACTGGGTATGTGTGTGTGTGTGTATGATTACGTCAGCATGAATATGAAGTGTGTATGGGTATGTACTCACCTAGTTGTACTCACCTAATTGTGCTTGCGGGGGTTGAGCTTTCGCTCTTTGGTCCCGCCTCTCAACTGTCAATCAACTGGTGTACAGATTCATGAGCCTACTGGACTATCATATCAACACTTGAAACTGTGTATGGAGTCAGCCTCCACCACATCACTTCCTAATGCATTCCATTTGTCAACCACTCTGACACTAAAAAAGTTCTTTCTAATATCTCTGTGGCTCATTTGGGCACTCAGTTTCCACCTGTGTCCCCTAGTGCGTGTGCCCCTTGTGTTAAACAGCCTGTCTTTATCAACCCTGTCAATTCCCTTGAGGATCTTGAATGTGGTGATCATGTCCCCCCTAACTCTTCTGTCTTCCAACGAAGTGAGGTTTAATTCCCGTAGTCTCTCCTCGTAGCTCATACCTCTCAGCTCGGGTACTAGTCTGGTGGCAAACCTTTGAACCTTTTCCATTTTAGTCTTATGCTTGACTAGATATGGACTCCATGCTGGTGCCGCATACTCCAGGATTGGTCTGACATATGTGGTATATAATGTTCTGAAAGATTCCTTACACAAGTTTCTAAAGGCCGTTCTTATGTTAGCCAACCTGGCATATGCTGCTGCTGTTATCCTCTTGATATGAGCATCAGGGGACAGGTCTGGCGTGATATCAACCCCCAGGTCTTTCTCTCTCTCTTACTCTTGAAGTATTTCATCTCCCAAGTGATACCTTGTATCTGGTCTCCTGCTTCCTACCCCTATCTTCATTACATTACATTTGCTTGGATTAAACTCTAACAGCCATTTGTTCGACCATTCCTGCAGCTTGTCCAGGTCTTCTTGAAGCCTCAAGCTGTCTTCCTCTGTCTTAATCCTTCTCATAATTTTGGCGTCGTCAGCAAACATTGAGAGGAATGAGTCTATACCCTCTGGGAGATCATTTACGTATATCAGAAACAGGATAGGTCCAAGTACAGAGCCCTGTGGGACTCCACTGGTGACTTCACGCCAGTCTGAGGTCTCACCCCTCACTAACTCTCTGCTTCCTATTGTTTAGGTACTCCCTTATCCACTGGAGCGCCCTACCAGTTACTCCTGCCTGTTTCTCCAGCTTATGCATCAACCTTTTATGGGGTACTGTGTCAAAGGCTTTCCGACAGTCCAAAAAAATGCAGTCCGCCCACCCTTCTCTTTCTTGTTTAATCTTTGTCACCTGATCGTAGAATTCTATCAATCCTGTAAGGCAAGATTTACCCTCCCTGAACCCATGTTGATGGGTTGTCACGAAGTCTCTTCTCTCCAGATGTGTTACTAGGTTTTTTCTCACAATCTTCTCCATCACCTTGCATGGTATACAAGTGTGTATGTGTGTGTGTGTGTGTGTGTGTGTGTGTGTGTGTGTGTGTGTGTGTGTGTGTGTGTGTGTGTGTGTGTGTGAGAGAGAGAGCCTGAGCGTAGCGGTGTGCATGTTTGTACTGTGCTGGCGTGTATGAATGCGTGTGGGTATGGGCGCACGTGTATACGGGAAGGCGTATGAGTGTTTATCAGTATGCGTGTGCGTGTGTGTGTGTGTGTATTTACTATGTGTATCTACAGAATCGAGCTATTTAGCTCTTGGACCCCGCTTTTCTAGCTAATAAATTTTTCCCCTATTATGTCTACTACATATATTTCTCTTACACACACACACATTACCAGGAAGCAGGCCGTAGCAGCTGTCCATCTCCCAGGTACCTATTTACTGCTGGGTGAACAGGCACTTCAGGGTAAAAGAAACTCTGCCCATTGGATTCCACCTCTGAAGGGAATCGAACCCGGGCCATTCGGACTATGACCCCCAAGCGCTGAGGAGCGCTGTCCACTCAGCAGCGAGGCCCTATGTGCGTGTGGCCTATATATATATATATATATATATATATATATATATATATATATATATATATATATATATATATATATATATATTATATATATATATATATATATATATATATATTATATATATATATATATTATATATATATATATATATATATATATATATATATATATATATATATATATATATATATATATATATATATATATATATATATATATATATATATATATATATATATATATATATATATATATATATATATATATATATATATATATATATATATATATATATATATATATATATATATATATATATATATATATATATATATATATATATATATATATATATATATTATATATATATATATATATATATATATATTATATATATATATATATATATATATATATATTATATATATATATATATATATATATATATATATATATTATATATATATATATATATATATATATATATATATATATATATATATATATATAATATATAATATATATATGAACAGGGACATTCATTCTCATGGAATGATACAGATTTCTATCACATTATGAATTATTAAATTTTTGTCTTATTTGAATCAAAAGCAACAAACATTTTATCCAATATATCGTAACTTAACTATATAAGTAATTTATCTTCTTATTATAATTTATTAATATTGTTAGAAAAGAACCAATTTGGAAAGAAATATTTGAAAATAACGATACCCGTTTTGCGTGTTAGGCAAACTGGGTCTTGCCTAATAGGTACAACATAGCCAGATGTGCGCGCTACTTGGCCTATTTGGCAAGGGCTGATTTGCTTAGCAAGCAGAGTAATTTTTGTTATTTTCAAATATTTATTTCCTTATTGGTTTGTTGTAATCAATAATGTTATATTATATTCAGAACATAAGTTCCTAACTTAGTTATGGCAGGCTAGGTTAGGTAGGTTAGGATAAGTTAGGTTAGGTAAGTTATAGGTTTGGTTAGTTTGGTTTGAATCAATTTTTCGGTTAGTTTTAACTAAAAACAAATATCATATATGGATGTGAATTTAATGGAAAGTTTTATCATTCCATGAGGAAAAAACAATAAAAAAAATAACATTTCATGAATACTCGACTTGTTAGGCAACTTGACCTATTAGGTATAACTTGCAATATATATATATATATATATATATATATATATATATATATATATATATATATATATATATATATATATATATACACACACACATGTACATATTAATATTATTCCTGTATTATTTCTTGAATTTTTACTCTTATCAAGATAATTCTACACAGATGAACCACAGTAACATAATATATCTATAATATTATCGCTGGGGTAGGACGCTGGGATTGAACCTCTGTCTAGGTCTCCCCAGACGTTAACCTAATAATTATCTTACACAAAAATGGACACAGTTTGGTGTTGTCAGATAAAAAATAATTGAACATTTTTTTCGTTTTGATTTTGGCAGACAGATCTTGTTTATTTGTGTTGTAAGAGCGAGATTATAGTCATCAATATATTCAGAGAATTACCTTGTCAGTCAGTCATCATTTATTATAGTTGTTGATGTACCTGTTTCGTATATGAGAAGGCACAGGGTGTGGGAGGTGTTGTGTGTGTGTGTGTGTGTGTGTGTGTGTGTGTGTGTGTGTGTGTGTGTGTGTGTGTCTGTGTGTCCTGGGAGGTTGTGAGAGCACCCTGAGTGGCCTTCCTGCACTCCTGTACACTCTAGCGAGTGTATAGGAGTAATTACCTAAGTGTAGTTACAGGATGAGAGCTACGCTCGTGGTGTCCCGTCTTCCCAGCACTCTTTGTCATATAACGCTTTGAAACTGCTTGGCCTCCACCACCTTCTCCCCTAACTTGTTCCAACCATCTACCGAGTGTATATATACGTGGGATACCCAGTTTGTACAACCTTCGTCCTCCTCTTGTACTCAGTTCTCTTGCACACATCACTTATACACTGCGATTACTTAAGTGGGTGGGGGGGGGGTATATTCCGTCTCGGATTACCATTGTGGGAGGGAAGATATATTATGAATGTTTTCAAAGAGCAAAATATAACTTGCTAAATGTCCTCCACACAAGATGGTTTTTAATGGGATTGAGGTGATTAAGGGATTAATTATGGTGATCCATCAACTTATTATTCCTCCAACAAAGCTCAGTTTTCATCACATGAAGTTCTCCGGGACAAAATATATTTGATCGTAAAAACAAATCATTTCATCACTATTATTATCATTTATGTTAAGATATAATAATATTATTAACTATTATTAGTAATAATAATTTAATTCTATAATCTGGCAGGTGTGTGAAGTCAAGAAAGGTTGCCAAATAATATTTTTTTTTAGTTAATAATCTACGCAACTGGATCTTGGAGGAAACCTAAAGTCAGAGGCGCGGCACTGTACCACCGGCACTAGGCTTGGTGGTGAGGACACAGCAAGAGGGCACTAGGCTTGGTGGTGAGGACACATCAAGAGGGCACTAGGCTTGGTGGTGAGGACACAGCAAGAGGGCACTAGGCTTGGTGGGGAGGACACAGCAAGAGGGCACTAGGCTTGGTGGGGAGGACACAGCAAGAGGGCACTAGGCTTGCTGGTGAGGACACAGCAAGAGGGCACTAGGCTTGGTGGTGAGGACACAGCAAGAGGGCACTAGGCTTGCTGGTGAGGACACAGCAAGAGGGCACTAGGCTTGGTGGGGAGGCCACAGCAAGAGGGCACTAGGCTTGCTGGTGAGGACACAGCAAGAGGGCACTAGGCTTGCTGGTGAGGACACAGCAAGAGGGCACTAGGCTTGCTGGTGAGG